CCATCGTGCCAGCACCAGAGCTGCTCGCCTCAGAGCCCGCTGGCTTTGAAAAATTAAGGGGACTGAAGGAGAAACTAGTTGATAAAATGAATGTGCACCAATCATCTCTCCTGTAGTCACCATGTGCTCTATGGTTCCAAGACGTAAGAGGATGGGCATTCAGGCTGACATTTACTCACTCAAGAGTAAACATGCACATAAGACACTGCAGGGTTGTGGCCTGTAACTCCTACATTGCAACAGGCTCTTCAACTAAAAGCAAAATGTGAATGCAGACACAAATGGAGAACCCTAAGTCAGCAAGTAACTTTTTGCTCCGTAGGAAACACTAGCCTGCTCCATCTTTGCTCAAAAATCTCCCTAAATTACTTCTGACTATTTAAGTTAGATTAGCTTAGCCAAGGGAGCTCTGAAAAGCAATTGATTAGATGTCTGGAAGCAGGAATAAGCTTGCCAGTAAGCCTTCAGCAGTGCTACCCATGCTGCAGACGTGCCCACGGGGAGCACAAGAAGATGCAGGAGGAGTGTGCATTGCAAGTACCAATAAAGGCACAGAGAAACAGGGTGTGTGTTTCAGAGACGCTGTTTCCTTGTCCCTGAGCACAGAACCTCTGTGCCAGCCTTGGGTGCGTGAGACTGTCCACCAAGCCCCTGCAATTGTCCGGTGTAATCAGGCTAATGGAGGCCTCTTAGAGACTTCGCAATACAGTTACAGACCCGTTATACAAGAATGCCTCTAACAAACAGGAAGATGCTGTTTACAACCATTTGTTTATATGCACCTATATGGTATAAAAACAATTGTGTTAAACTGCAACTTTCTAACCCTTTGCTCTCCCTTCATGAAAGGCCAAACCACCATAGGCCATTTTTTTTGTATCTCTGATGGTCAAAGGCTGCAGTGACAGTGGGAGCATCTTCTGGTATGTCTGTGGGCAGATTTTAACATTTGTGCTCTCCTTCGCATTTACTCAAGCAGAAGCTGACCACAATATAGTCCTACGTAGCTCCACCTCTAGCACTCTTGTGAAGGAGGAAAGCACTTTCACAGCTGTTTTATATGTGAGTCAGTGATGGAACCAAAATTAGAAGCATAGGTCTGTCCAGACTGGATCTCAGTCCATTCCTTGTGCTTCTAGGGCAAAAGTGATGAAAAAGGTAAATAACATGCAGTTAAAGAAAATCACATGCGTTGGTGATTGTAAAGATCTGATAATTCATGCAATTTCCCTTATTGCTGATAGAAGGTTAGCTGGCAAAAATTAATAATCTCCTGGAATATGTTGTTTAGTGTGAGTCCTGCAGTGCAGTTTCATGACAGATGGTGGAAATGTATGGGATATGCATAAGAAAAGAATCTGCTGTCTTATAGACACCAGAGCCAGAGGTCTAACCTGGAATGTACACAAGGCCAACAGATATTTCTATCAGGTGCTCCCGCCAAGGATGACCTTGCTTTGACCAACTCTGATGACTCTGTTGATTTAAACAGAGTTGCACCAATGTAAAGAAAAGTAACGCTGCAGTGTTTGTCATGAAGAATGGCTTATCTGGTGTCTCCAACAATTCACCCCCTCTGAGTCTGAAGAATGTATCGCTGGATTATACAGGAGAATTAGAAGTATCTTTAATGTATAAGCTTCTGAAGAAACTCCTAAAGACTAACTATTATTGAAAAAACTATTACTGAAGTCCTAAAATACCTGAAATGATGCTGACTATCTACATAGTTGTGAATTTTATCTTTGCTAAAAAGGCCTGTTTTGAGAGTTATGGAAATTCTGTGAGCATCCCGTTAGCTATCTCTCTCCCTGCTGCTCTGCCTATCCCAAGGTCATCAAAGCCTCCGCTCTTTGGTGCACATACATATTTGTTTTATAGCACCTTCCCAGAAAAGTAGCCCAGCCTGAATTCTCAGCTATGCCAGGTCCCTACAGTCTCCACACTTTCAGGCTCCCTCGTGCAGAGCAGAGCATCTCACCGACTGTTATTTTGGCTGCCTGATTTCTGCACATGCCACATCACCAAGATAAATTCATGTACGTACCCACACGGTCTGGCTGCATCAGCGCTGTCCCTGATAAATGAGGAAACAAGGCCAGCCCGTCCCTCGTCGTCCCTCTCAGGTCAATGGTGTTTCCTTGAAAATGAACCCCGTGCATGTCGTAGTGACTGCCCAGTCCGATGAGGTGCCAGGAGACCTTGTCGTCCTTGCACATGGCCAAGCCTGGCAGATTACCGAACAAGTAGCCGTTGACAGCTGGAGGAGAAGGAAAGAGCCTGGTTGGCAGCAGGTCAATGGAAAGTCATCACAGAGCCTCCTACCACCTTCCTGGCAAGAGACTCGCAACTCAGCAAGTCATGGCATTAATTAAAGGGGCATTTTGTGAAGCAAAAGTAGCACTGGATAACACCAAATCAATATCTAAATGCTATTCCTGTAAACTCTGAGCTTCTACCTTTTTTTTTTTAGCCTGTAAAATCTTGTAATAGCCCTTTGCAGTGATGTAGCACTTCTCCTCCGAGCTTTTCAGGATGCCTCGCAGACACCAGTTAAGTGTATGAATTAGGTACCTCCTTTAATCCTGGAGAATGTATAACTGGATCATTAAGGCCATGGAATGGGCCATAAAGAGTCTGAGTTATAAATTCAGTTCTGATGGAGCCTTTTTATGTGATTTTGACCTTTGATTTCCACTTTTACTTCCAAAATGTCTTTCTTTCTTTCACAAGATCCTCAAATGCTCTCTGTGATCACTGGGTGAAAGATATTATGGCAGAACAAAACTTTAGTATGAGATACCACCTCATAACAGAAGAATAAAATAGATGGGTCCAGAAAGCCCCGAGGTTCTCTAACAATATATATTCTCAGTCCTCTTCAGAAAACTAAAGCAAAGAGAGGTTATGTCATTTGCTCAAGTCTGCCATGTCAGGAAAAACTTGGAGGAGGTCCATACTGAAGTCAGATACTTACATCCAGAAGTGATGTTTTAAAATATTATTGGTCATTCCCCTGGTCTTTGCCTCTCCTCTTCCAGAGGTGGTCACTGCCCAGGTGGGAGCTGGCAGAGCAGAGCAGGTGGACCTTCGTTATCTGAGTCAGTGCCAAGGCCAGCAGTGAAATTTAAATCACCAGTGAACATTGGCCTCTTCTGCAGTTGGTGCTTGACTCTGGCATTATGCCTTTTTATAGACCCAGGTGTTGCATCTAAAAGCTACACTCTGTTCCCTTTCTCCAGGTGGAGTTGGTAGGTGGATGCATTCATTGCTAATGTGACTGGGGTTTCAACAGGCACTCCAAGGGCATCAGGAGCTGGCCAAAAGCTGACTGACAGCTTTCCACCCCATCCTCCAGTGCACTGCAGCTGGCTATGAATGATGATAAAATCTGCCAACTCATCTTCCTAATATGATTGAAGAAAAGGTATCATTAACAGATATTAGATACTTCATACCATGCATTTTGTTGGATTCCTTGAAATCTGGATCATTTTCATCTACTTTTGAAGGGTCTCCAGTAAATGCTTCGATATTCTTGTTCAGATACCAGCTGTCATTCTCATCAAAGATTGAAAAGAGGAGGTAAAATTCTCTGTCTATTCCTTTCTGTAGCCAACAAGGAAGCCAAGACATTAAAAAAAGTCTGTGCAGAATTACCCAACTAAAAATGATTTTTTTTTTTAACAAAGCTTTCTTTCCCCCCGCAAATTGCAGCTGCCTTCTTACTATGTCCTTGTAGAGACAGGGATTGGCACCCTTCCATCAGCCAGAAGGATAAATAAAGTGTCCATTACTTACTTAGGGTGGAAAGATGCCTTCATTGCTAATAAGTGCATGGAAAAGATGGAAAACCTAGGGACAAGCCAAAATACTGGGGAATGACCGTTTCATGTTCCTAACCATCCCCTTAGGTCAGCTTTTACTTTGAGGAATGACATTTGTTTAATCTCTTAAAACTGAGCTGGGAACTGGGCAAATTGGCCCATATGGGAACCCCCCCAGTGCACCACCCTGCTGTTAGGGACAAGCATATGTCCGTGTTGGGCACCTGCGTCCCGTCGGGATTCAGCGTGTTCTTCCGACAGACCAGCAAAGGCCCCACGAGGCCGGAGTTGGTGTCCTTGACGGCATCAGTGGCTGAATAGTACAGATAGGTCAGGCATGGGGGGTCACTTTCTGATGGACCTCCATTTTCAGGCACCCTCCATTTGTATGTGAAGGTTTCACCTGGCTTAACGTGGGCTCCTGGCTTCAGATAGCCTGCAGAGAGAAAATTGAGAAGCACCAAGGTTATAGGAAGGTTTTGTCTTCCTGAATACAAGCGTTAGCTGGGAGTCAGACATAGCTGCTGGTTTCTGTGGACAAGCTCCCCCTTGCACCCACAGCTCGAGCACCATCCCATAGTCTGGGCACTTATGCCATGGGGACATCTCACCAGAGTCCTGTGCCATGGAGACAACCAAGCCCATTCCCTGTAGAACATGTTTAGCTGCTTCACCCAGACACCTTCCGACGCTATCTGGATTATCTGGATTCAATCAGACAAGACATGCAGAGCTCATCCTTGTGCTTAGATGGCTTCCTCCAATGTTTGTAGCTTACCTGCCCTATCGTTGAGATTCATCTGCGGCATGAACACAGGCTCCGGCTTTTCATTAAGCACCAACAAAGCAATTACATCAGCGAGCGGAGCTGCAGCTGTGGCTCTTTAGAAATTCAAAACAAATCTGATCCTGGTAATTGTTTCTTTTTGATTTTGTAGTAATGCACAGGATCCTCTGTCAGAGTCTCCAGAGGGCGGTTGCTATTACTTTTTTTGGAAGCTACTTTTAAAGGATTTGGTGGATGTAGCACCACTCGTGTAATTTAGCCACTGTAAAAGAGTGTTGGTATCCACTTAGAGAGGACTTACAAAAGGGACTTGAAAGGAAAGTTGGGAAAAGGGCTCAGCCCTGCACCCTTTGTAGAAAAAAAGTGCTAAGTAACCTTTCTGGTCTTTGCTATGAGGAAGATCAAATCAGAAATTTTGTTTAACACTTAGGTATCTATTGACTGGATTTTCTCAGGACAGTCAGATGTGTCTGGCAGCAGCAGACTGCATTGATCTAATACTCCTCTCTAATACTCCAAGAAAATCCTCTTGAAAACTTAGACACGAGTGAAAATAGAGGTATTACATATGAACACTTACTATTTGCTGCAAACCGCAATACAGAGTACTGCTTCAACAGTATACTGGATTTGTCCTGCAAGAGTGCTCAATAAGGAGAACATTGATTTGGAGTTAAAAACCCTCTAATTGGACAAGCGTCAAATGCAACATGGAAGAATATTTCCTCAGAGCACAATGGAAAAAAGATGTCTGCAGACATCTGTAAATGTCTATAGGTACATTTATGTACAGTATTTTCATGTGAATAAGCTGCACTCAGACAATGCACAGCCTTTGAAAAATCTTTTACCTTCAGTGTAAACCTACAGCCCCTATAGGGCCTCCACATGTATACGCTTTTAGATGGATATGATGGAAATCCAATACACAAGGGTTACAAGGAGAGAAAAAGGGGCAGAAAGATTGTTGATGAATCCGGAGTCAGGTTCCTCTCCAAAGACCCAGAGGTGTGCAGCGCACACTGCTGCTGAATTGTGGGGTTTGGTTTGATTTTGCTCCATACCAAAGCGTGCAATGCTGATGGGCGCTATTACTGGGGAGCGTTAAACGAAAGCATGACAGGACTGCGAGCAGAGGGAAGCTGCACTTCCATCAGGGAACTACATCAGACACGTGTGGCATTAGGATGTGTGCAGATAACTTCAAGGCTGAACTTAAGCCAGTTTCGTGATGCATTGGGGCCTGCTGGCAAATTTGTTGTGTTGCAAGGTCAGCAACTAGAGACAACAGAATTTAATAAAGCCTTTTGTATTTATTTTATTGTATGATGTTATAAGTTTTACACGTTGACCTAATTCTCTTAGCACAGTTCTTAAAAGAGGGATTATGTCCTGTGAGTTTCTTTCTGATGTGTTGTAGTAGAAACAAAGCAATTTAGACAACGAGAAACCTACCTTTCTTTTCAGTGCTGCAAATGCAGCAAAAACTTTTTCAGAGACCACAATATTATCTCTGTAGACACTATGGATGGGATTCAGCTCACCTTACTTGAGCCATTTAAGCTTAGTCCCTAACCCAAACTCTAGGCTTCTTCTGTAGTTGATGGAGACAGAAACACCTCTCCAGAGGGTGACCTACTGCCTCCTAAAATAAGTGTTCAAAGTAAATGGGACTTCTCACCCTCTGAAGGGTTTGTTTCTTGTCACTGACTGAAAAAAGTGTCTATCAACTAAATATGACATTTAACATTTAACGGTTAAACTTAGGTGATAAAATTCCTGTCCTTGCAAAAAAGGAGAGGAAGCCTTTGGTAAATGCTCCGTTTCAGCGTTTACATATTTCTGAGGATTAATAAGGATTATCGCTGCTTCACATTCCAGGTCAATCAGATAAAAGCTGCCTCTGACACTGACTATCCTGATAGTGAAGCACGGGCAACACCTGACCTGGATTAGAGAATCAGGAGTGAAGCAACCCAGACCACGTGGATAGCTATATCCAAGGACTCAGCAGGGGCATCATGCCAGATCCTAAGCTTCATAATTCTGGAGCATGTCCAGAGGAGATCCACTGACTGCAGTTGAGCGATATTAGATTAGAACTAATATAAATTGGATTGTGCTTGTGACTTTTGCTCAACACGGACCTCAGCTAGTTTTAGACACCTTGTTTGGCACATGTCCAAGGGAAAGAACCAGCACATTGGCAGACTGGGGGTTGTCCCATGTCCCATGGGTTGTGACTTGTAGGGTAGATGCAAACTAATCAAATAATCCCTTCTGTGCCTTAGCATCCACAAAAAGGGCAAACTTGCAGAGCAACAGAAGATCTTTAGACTCAGGTATTCTGAATGTGACGATACAGCAGTATGGTCAAAACTTACCATCTAAGTAGGGAGCACCTTCCGACAGCTTGCTGAAGCTTACGCCATGGGCCATAATGCTATAGCTTCTTTTGGCTTTGTTGGCAAAAGTAACTAGCACTGTATCTCCCACTTCAGCTTTTATAACGGGGCCTTAAAAAAAGGGAGTGAGGGAAGGTATTAGAAGAACTACCCTCTATCATATTTCCATCTAAACAAGAGAGGGCTGACTAGCAGCTGCATGCACAAAATTCCCCTCTGGATCCAAGTGGATCTGCATTCAAACCCGATGTAATGACAGGAGGGGAAACTATTCACTGTACCAAGTATTCCCAGGTGCTTCATGTCCTCTGACCAAATCTTCTTCTTACTGAACGTTGCATCAGTATATTCCACATAGTGAACTTTCCAGTATTGCCCTCCTATTCTGTCAGTCCCTTGTATGAAATATATTGCAGATTCACTGTGGAATTAACAAATCACACTAGTTAAATAATTGGAGGTTCAGGCAGAAACCTTCATTTTGAATAAAGTTATTACTCCAGACATAGGAGAAATGATGTCCCACGTTACTAGTTTGCATACACATTTCTAGCAGACAAAGGGAGATATTACTGGTCTGAATTACAGTCATAAATTAGTTAGCAAATGGGCATTCATTGTGCATTAGACTTTCATGTGTTTAACCCCAATTAACTTAGGGAGACATCTCTGTCAACTTACCTCTAACTACCTTAGGGCAAGACCTCTGCCATTAGCTGTGCACAATGTGTCTCTAATCCTCATTAGCTTTCCTGGGAGATACTGTAATACAATTCATCTTCATCAGTAATAACAGGGGGAAAAAAACCACCATTATGGCACCTCTGAGAAACACTGATTGTAAGTGTGAAAGCTGCCTGAGAAGTCTTGACATAGGGTCATTAACTCTTGAACTTTGCATACCTCACCAGGGCTCACTTTCTCCATGGATTTAATGGAGCAAGATAAGTGCTTCCAGAAGGCAACTCCGAGCATCGCAGTTACGAATCTAACTTCCCAACAAGGTTGTTTAAGTCCATTGCTCCCTGCCCCTTTCAATTAAAATTAATAACAGTGCAGGGCCTAGCCCTGGTGAATCACTGGGGAAGTCTCACCCAGACTCCTGAAATTAAAACACGACAGGAGAGGACAAGAAAGCTTACCTGCCAGTGGCGTTTAAACCCTGCCCAGTGAATTTATCGTAACCGTCAGGTCCGTAATTCCAGAGCATTTCTTCAGCTGCGATATAATATCTTCTCTTGTGACTGAGTGGTGAAGGCCGAGACAGGTTTTTTTGGCAGATCTGAACATCATATAGTGCCTCCATGCCACCTGGGAGAAGAAAGAGTCTGGAGACAGTCCTTGGCCAGCTGCATAGTCAGCAATCTCATGGATACAAATGCACATTCAAAAGTCTCTAGGAGCTACATGGACTGGAAACAATTACTAGGGTAAATTTCTATTTTTAAAGACTTCCTCTGCCTACACTGGGCCAGATGCTAGCACCCTTCTCTTGCAACGTGGTACTTTATGCCACAGATGAAACCCACTGACATCAATGACACTCTTCAGTGGGCTTATTTAGTCAATTCCTGAATCTGGGTAGGGATGGTAGAATGATTGTGGGGGCCAGAGTGCCTCCTGAATTGTGCAAAATGGCATCATCTCCCCTTGACTTTCATTGAAATAGAGGCTGGTTGTTACCACACTGAAGATATTTGTTGCTTGCCAGAATCAAGTCTGTTTTGTCTGATGAAAATCCCACTGAAATCAATGTGCAAGTTCTTAAAAGTAAAAATTCTCCCAACTCGTCTCTGATATGATAATTATACATTGCCTGCTGTCATGAGACCTCGTTTATGATACGTGCTTTCGGGCTCTCGCACCACACAAATATCACATCACCATCAAATTCCTTCACATAAACGTTTCTGAAAACACTGCCAATTTTTGTCTGAGTCCTGTAAAGGAAAAAGCTATGAAGTGTTCAGCTGGCATGATTTTCCTTTATGTGTAAGTACTTATCTACAACAAAAAGTGATGATGAAGGCTCCTCTCATTGCTCATCAAAATCTCCGGTTTAGATAGAAAGCATGGTGTCAGCGCTGGGTCTAGCAAGCCTTCCTCATATGAATTACACAACTAAGTCATTCATGCTAGCTGAAGATTTGGCCCAACATGTATAATTTCTACTGGTGACTAAACTCATATTCATTATGTTTATCTAGTGAAATACTTTCAAAGTGTTCAGTTAGTCACAAAAAAAGTGTCAAATGCTGCTTCCCCTGGAAACATCTCTGTTTTCTTTTCCAAGCGTAATAGAGGCTAGAACTTCTGAAAGGATCAGGGAGATCTATAGCAGCGTACCTCGTAAGTGCTCATTAACCTGGCACGTTATCAGCCACCTCCCGGGGCTCCCGGGGGTCATCTCTGCTGTGATGAACGTTGCTGGGAACAGACCGACGACATCTGCCCTCTGGTCTCTGTTAGTGAACGTGTGGCCGTAGAAATACGCAGCGTGGATATCTATCTCGCTTCCCATGCCAAACAAGTGCCAGGACATGGAAGTGTCAGCACACATCTCCAAGCCGGGGAGATTGCCATAAATATAACCGTTAATAGCTAAAAACAAAAGTATGAGACTTTATGAGAGCTGAAAGAGAAGTGCCAAGTGCCTCTGACCTCATTTCTAAGGATGATCCTTTCCTGGCCCAGAAAAGAAACTGTCTGATTGTCCACACTGAATAAGGCCCTCACAGGCTCCTCAATGAAGAGTAACATTTTGAACATACAGCTTACAGCTCTGGATGATCAAATGGCCCAAATTCTCTGGTTGGGTCTGTGAAAAACTTTCTGGGTGATATCAAGATGTTGCAAAGGCCAAGTCATCACCAGAAAGGCCTGATAATGAAGTTAACTTGTTCTGCAGCTATTTAGCATGTCTGAAATCTATTTCCTCTTATTCTGAGTCATAGATATACCATTATACAGCAGACTTAAGCAATTTAGATTTGAAAATTATGATATCAGTCAAATCAGTCTAGTCAGCTCTCTCTTCCTCAGCTTCCACACCTGACAATGTATCAGGACACTAGGAGAATGGGACTCATATTTTGCAAAATATTTTAGCTCCTCGGCTCCATGGAACAACCAAAATACAGAGAAATATCTGGATTTAACTTCTTATACCAGATCTCCAAATGGCACAAAGTACTATTGGCCAATGGATCTCTGTAGGGCAGGAACGGTTGTACCAGCCAGCCCACCATCTACAAGGCCCTTTGAGAAATGCTGGACTCTTCCAATACACACATCTCAAAGTGCTCTGCAGCTTGCTTTTCTCTTTTCACAGCTGGTCAAACAGTCACCAAATGGCTTAAATCTGTTGCCTAAGATAAAATGCTAAACAAGTGGCAGAGCTGGGCATGAAAGCCAAATCTCCTTTCTGCAAACCAGTGTGTTGTATGGTATTTAGGGAGAGGCTTTTTATCAACATAGTACTTCAACATCCTGACCCATTCCTTGCTGACACAGATAAAGGAGAGACATCACAAGGGATAGAAAGTCCTACTGAAATGAAGAAAGCCTGGTCACTGCTGTAGGTCACCATTTGCTTAAGAGTCCTGCTCACCATGCATTCGGTTGCTGGTCCGGAAAGCTTCATCCTCTTTGTCAACTGTGGCTGGTTCTAAGCAGAAGGTGTTTATATTCTCATCGAGGTACCAGCTGAAGTTTTCATCTACAATGCTAAACATCAGGGCAAAAGCGTTAGCAGCACCAGTCCCTTCTATTGAGGTCTCATCTGCAGTTCCTAAATTGCAAACGAAAAGGAAAGTGATATAAAAAGCCTTGGAGGGGATTGAATTTAAAAGTGACAATAACTTTGGAGCACTTGAGGAAATACGGTGCTCTGCCCATGATCTATAGGGCAGGATGAATCTCACCTAATTTTGCTCTTCTAAGGCATCTTGTCCCCCCTCGAACAGCCTTTGAACAGACGAGTGCCTCCAAAAGGCAGTTCACCTCATCTAAATCAAGCTGATATTTCAGGATATCTTTGATTTGACATAAGCACAAGTACTTGCCAATATCTGTGGTCCCATTTTCCCCGTCTTTGGCCCGCTGCACTCAACCCTTCCCTTTAGTCAGTGTTAGCATCTGTGTGCCAATGAGCCAGGTCATGGGCCTGATCCAGCCAGAAACCAGTGCCTTTTTTTTTTGACCAGGAATTAAGGAGAGGCAAGTGGTAGTCTGCAGTTCTGTTACATTGAAGCGACTGGTGAGCCATACCCTCAGAATGGCTGTCTAAATGTGCCTCACTCTCCACGGACTAACAAGGAAGCCTCCACAATTATCTAGGACTAGATACTTAAATTTAAAAAGGCTGAAGGCAGGATGAATAGAATCTATTCAGGCTAAGTTCAGTATGATTATCTGAGTGACCATTTGGGGAACAACCTGAGAATATAGGAGTGGTGATACTGAGTAGTCTATTATTAACCATTGGCAGGTTTAGACTTCATCTAATTGTCCAATCTACCTCTGAACCCATGAAAACCTTTGCTTTCCCTGTCTCCTACAGGAGAGAGCTCCAGAGCCTTGCTGTCTGTCCTGTAAGGAGCCACCCACCACCGTTGGACAGAGGACTACAGCAGTAACATCATGCAGATATCCACCTTGATGAATTCAAGACCAAACATGCAGATAACCTGGCCTTTCAGGCTAGGATTGTTTTGAATGTGCTATCTCCTAGCTTCATGTATTATCGCAGTTATTGGCTCAGTTTCACATATTCAGGCAGTTCTGCAGATTTCAAAGGCTCTCCGGGAGAATAAAAGTCTGAGACATTTTAATTGTGTGAGTTAAGCTGGAGACCAGGCTTATCCTTTCCACGTTGAAGTCTTTCTCTTCTTCATATATAAAACCTGTTTCACTTATATGTTCTCTATATAAAATCAGGGCTGATTTTGTACTTTGGGAGTTACTGGAAAGAGACGGCAGAGTTACACATGCCCAGGGGGAAAGGGGGCAACGGCTCAGCTGATAGAGGGGAGAGGGCTGGTACATGGTCCCTCATGGCTCCAGCACAAAATTAGCAGGCTGGTACAGTACACAGTACAGGCCGTCACCTCATCTGTTCAGTGCACGTCCCCGAATGGTTGTGATATACAACTTGTGAGCAAAAATAAATATAATCTGTATGGGGAAAAAAATGACAAAGAACATTGGGGTTTCAAATATGTAAATGCCGAAGTCACCCGCCCAGCCCTAATTTCATTTCCTGGGCAATGAGTCCTTTGCTTGTCCTGAAATGTTTGGGAACATTTATTTTTAGTCTCGGCCACGACTGGCTGGCCACAGAGCATGCTGCAGTCCCTCCACCAGCCGAGGCAAATCTCTTGTGAAGCCAAAGGGGAGCAGGAAGAGGGTTGTCCCAGAGCTACAATACCTACCCTGGGATGCTCCTGGAATGGCCCAGCTATTCCTTGCCCCTTTTTATGGGCTATGTAGGGATAGACTCTAGACCATCATGTTTATACCTGTAAGCAAAAATGACTGTTAAGATGCCAAGCTTGGCAGAGGGGCTTGCTTTATCAGTGTTTCTAGCTCAGTACCTTTTTTACAAACCAGCAGTGGCCCAATTAAACCAGATGCAATATCTCTTGGTGTGTCAATGTGAGAATGGTAAATCCAAGTCAAGCAGTTTGAGTCTGCCAAAGTTGGGGAATAATCTTTCCTTACTGGCCATGTGTATGTGTAATTTCCACCGGGAACAACAAAGTCGTCCTCTTTGCTTTTACCGCCGGTTCCATCAGGGTAAAGTGCTCCTAAACAGGAAAAAGGAAGTTTTTAGCCCCCACTTAACTGTTTTCTTAAATAAATGTGTAATTTCTTCTATTTTATTACAGATTTATAAAATAATAACAGCACTCACAAACACTGAGGAATTGTGAAAAAAATCAGAAGTTCTGGTAAAACCATCAAAAAATGTCGAAAGTTAAAATCCATTATTTATCAGTAGACAAAGGTTTAAAAATGCATTAACAGACACTAATTTTTCCTTGGCTCTTTACTCTCATCAGTCATGTACACATTTTGTCAGCTAACATTGTGTATCTTCTCACAGAAAACTGATGAAAGTAATGAAAGTAATACAGTCCTCTAACCAAAATACGCATGCATAGGTTTAGGATTCTGAAAATTAAATCATGCCTATTATAGCCCTATAGAGAGGAAAACATTTACTTACAAGAACTCCATCCATTCAAACATGCTAGAAGTAGAAGGAAGGAGGGAAGATGCTTTGGTGACTTCTAATTCAGGAAAATAATTCAGGAAAAAAGACCTACCTAACCTGTTTCAGTACTGGATTTATCCCAGGCTTCGAAGGTTTGTGGCAAAAAGTTTTAAGAGGTGAGGCTCTACCTGTTTTTAGTCATCAGCTGCAATTACTGATGAGTTTATGAGAAGGTGTTCTAAAGTTCTCTGATGTCAATGGCCAGAACAATAAATACTTGGACAAACTTTTAGCCATGATATTAGCTACTCCAGGGGAAAAGGAGAGGAAAAGGCAAACCAGTTTTTACCTTCAGAGTCCTTGTCATAGAAGACCCCGTGCGGATGCACAGAATATGGGCGGGAAGCAAAGTTTTTTAGGTGGACGATAAAGACATCCTCTTCTTCTGCCTTCAGCACTGGCCCGAGAAACCCCAGCCAGGCTGCTTTGGGGATCTCCTGGGAGTAAGTGTCATCTGTGAATTGCCTAAAAATAGCCTTTTTGTACACACGCCCTATCCGGTTGGCTCCTCTTGTCGCATACACACTTGCAAACCTAGTGTTGGGAAGGGAAGATAATTTAGAGACAAAAAAACTCCTTTAAAAGTTGATCAAATAACTGGTGCTTGCAGCACAGATAAATAGTTCCCTGGACATATCAAATAGCTGGTAGAATAAAAGCTGAGGAGTAAACCTGGACAGCAAGCGCTAGCAGGGTCCAAGTCCCTTTCTGTACAGTAACAGATGTAGGATTGCAGGTCTGGTCTTTAGCACGGTTACTACAAGTCTTCACTTGAGGACCAGCCGCTCAGGCCTTTCTGTACAGTTTTAGCAGCTTCTCCCTCTTTTGAAGGTTTGAAACCTCACATCTGAAAGCATGACTCTTCAGAAGGAAAAGAAAACCAAATTAAGTTTTTTCAAAAGCCAATAAGAGCGATTCTAATCAACAAGTTTGACACCCCAGAAGAGTAGCATGAAATATTTTTTGCATGAAATGCATCATTTCTACATTCCAGAGTCTATGTTTATAGCAACTTCAAGTGATGGTGAACCAACCATATGGTCAGTGGTTGACATATTATAGCTATTAAATACCTGCTCCCTTCGAATCCTTAATTGCATTTGTAGTCTAATATCATCTAGCTCCACACTCCAACCACTGGTTCCTATCAAGCCCTCTCTCAGATCAAAGAAGCCACATACCATCAAGAGCTGCTTTTCTATGCAGGCACTTGCATAAGCTTTAATTAATTGACTAAATTGCCTCCTACCCTTCTTCTGGACAAACCAAGTACACTGACATTCTTTATGCCACAGATCTTTCCCAAAGCTCTTTTCTGAAAACCTTCCACTATTTCTCTCTCTCTTTTGAAGTCTGAACACAAGAACTCCACACAATAGGCAAGTAATATTCCAGCTAAAGCCAGAGGTGCTCCCAGTCAATATTTCTTACACAGCTGTGAATTACTTTTGCCCTTTTAACTATAATATCATACTGGCAACCCATGTTCATCCCGTCTGTTATGATATAAAACCTTTTTTTACTTCTGTCCAGGTTACAGCTGACAAGTATGATACACATTTTTCATCCCTAAATATCCCACACAAAGAGGGTAGAAATTAACCCCTTTGCTACACAACCAGCAGTGGACTGTATGACCAATTTCACCATAGTTGACTGCTCCAGGAGTTTTTGCAATCCCTGAAGATTATTTGAACTTTCACGTTTCCTAACAAACTCATAAAAAAACTGAGCTAAATTTTCCTGAAGTATCACTGGCAGAAATATAGCAATTTCATATTTATAGTGAGTTTTTGTGACTGGCCAGTTCACCTGCTTGAACCCATTTTGTTTAGGTGCTTTTGTGCAGTGCCAGAAACCTAAGTGTTGGATGTCACATGAGTTGAAAGGTATGATTTGCTATAATTTCTTCACCATAAGATCCACTACTCCCCCTTTTCAAGCCATCTCTGCATGACACCATAACTCACAACATCCCCCGTCTGTGGTTATTACACCTCCGTGGCCACTGTCTAAACCAAATCCCTGAAGTGATCCACATACAAAAGCCTCTAAAAAGAAGGCTTTTCCATTTGAAAAATGTGCTTTATAACAAGCCAAGAGCTATTTCGGCACAAATGAAAACGTTCCAATGATACTGCTGTGGCAGAAACAGTTGGCAAGGATGGAGGGGAAGGGACAGAAGTTTCTTAGTCTGCTTCTTCACAGAATAATGTATGTCAGATAAATACACCCCAAAAGCATGGTTAAGGAACGAGTTGCCAAGAAGTCTGGATTTTCAGTCAATTAGCAGGTCTGTGGTAACTGTCTGTGTGCACAGCAAGACCTGGCAAGTCATACCATGCTCACCGAGGAAAAGATGTCTTCCACTGCCTGGTGGGAAGAGCTGCTACAAGAGCCCTTACCACAGAGTAGTAGGTGGTGTCAGCAGTAGTGCAGTGTAAATGCATGTGCTTCCTTACCTCATGGCGATGTATTCATGTGGCTATGCCCTAATTCGAATTATAAATTGATTTTTAAAATGGTTTATAACAAATTTTCTTTAGAAAAAAATCAAATAGATGTTTTTTCAGAAAGTACTTGTTTTCAGGAGACACTTTTCAGCAGAATTTTTTCCATTTTTTCCATTTCCATCAGCCACCAAATATTTTAAATGAGGTGCTGCAGTGGCACTGTGCTGTCCCCATGAAGGTAGTGCCCTTATGCCTTTGGCTTTCTGGCCAGACAACATTGCACGCTGTCCCATAACTTCACACCCCTGGGATACACTGCCTCTCCTGAAGAAGGAGAACTGTACCCCAGAAAAATGCACTTTTTGATCAGGCTTTGTCAAATGCTTGACATGAGCCTAACTCCTTTAAATGCATAGATCAGGGATCCCAAAATCCAGTTAGGTATTGAGGTTCAAGAAATCATCCTGAGAAAACTCTGTAGGTTTAGGCACCAGAGACTTCCTCAGTGCCTAAAGCCATGCTGTAGCACCTCTGTTGGCTAGATCTGTGCCTGTCTCCTACTTAAAGCCATCTAGGAGTCAGGAAAAAAAGTCTTTTTAGTGCTTAGTGAAAGGAGGCCCATTCAAACCCTCCACCCGTTCAGAGCTGCAGAGCCCATTGTCAGTGCAATGGGTATCAGCTGCAGTCACAATTTAGGTGATGCTCTTCTATGCAGGGCATCAAGCAATGCAAGAGTCATGGAGCCAGAAAGGGATCACAGCACGAAAGGAGCAACCTGGCCTCTTGGCCCTTGGTTAATTAGGGGTTTTATTTAATCATTGTCCGAAAGAAAACAACCAATCAGCTCTGGGAGACAAATCCTACATGCCACTGATGCCCTTGCTGTTGCATTACAGACTCAGGCTCTTTCATAGCTTACTTTCCTTCTAGATCCACGCTTTCCAAAGGGCAGAAGAGTTTCCTACCCAAAATACCCTGATGCTTGGGAGTTTCCTGGGGTGCAGACACTTCAGCCTCACTCCTCCTTCTGTCTGGGAGGGGTAGAGCCCAGTTCTTCTACCTATGCAGAGACATGTATTTTCAGCACGTCCTTTTGGTTGCCCTCAGTATCTGAAAACAGAGCACACCGGTTGTTTAGAGTCCCACTCTAGGTGTCCAGACTGCCCCATTTCATCCAGGGGGACTTTTGGGTGCCCACCTCAGCCTTGCAAGTAGCTGGTAGCTTTGTGCCTCTTTACAAGTGTTGCTGTGCTGCACATTACAGTGCTTAAAGTCCTTTGCAGAAAGACTATCCACACTGGAGCTAATGGCATCAGCCATAGGAAGCTCATAGAAAGGATGCATGGGTGTGAGTGACTTCTCCTCTGCACTCCCAGATGCCTGGATCATGGGCATGTGGCCACACTCTGGGGCTGGTATCTTCACCCAGTGCCACAGTGCAACCAGTGGATGTGTCAGAGGGAGCTGGCACAGGCTCAGTGCCACGGCCCCTGCTGCTCCATCAGTGGGGCACAGAGGTTTCCCCGCTTCTTTCTTTCAGTGAGAGCTTCTTCTCAGTGCTCCATGAAGTCTCTGCTGCCAGTGCCATTCGTACCAGCATGTCTCCCACCCCGCAGTTCCTTACCACCCATCTCCAGAGTCCCTCAGAGATTTTCTCAGCTTCAGGATAGTGTCCTGATGACCTTTCATCTCCTGTCTTTGATAACAGTTCTCAAACACCATTCCCTGTCTTCTTTCTGTCTTCTTTTGATGGGGTCTGCTTCCTTGGGAAACACTTCACATTTTCAATCACTGAGTTAAACATCTCCTTCAACTGCATCTCCTGTTTCATTCTTTCCCATCCACTGACTTTCCAATATGTTATTGCAGCAGTGGCTTTTCCAAATGCTATAATGGTTAAACACATCCAATTCTCTGAATCTGCCTTTGCGTCTTTCTTCCAGTGGTCACAATGTGCCTATTCTACTGGGCACCCCCTGCCAAAATGTCTCCTATCTGTCATTCCTCTCTTGTCACAAGAAGACAAACCTTCTCCCTGCTTCTTCATGCTCCCCTGCTCACTTCAAACTGCTTCATCCTCCTGGTGGCTTTGTGATATTGCTGCCTGAACCTTTTCCATCTTTCTGGTCTTGTGCAGATGTAAGAGCTGCTCTTCTAAATCTTGACTATCTCCCTCCAACTCAGTTGTCAGCCTGCACTTCGTGTGCAGAAAGTCATGATGATCAGTCAGTCCCACTTCTTATAGGAGAGGGGAATACTCCATCTTCTGGAGCTGTACCCATGCAAGCTTCCAAAATTCCCTCCTTCATCGCCTCCAGTCAGGCCAGTCTTGAGGTTACATATAGAGGTAAGCAGGCTTGTGAGTCAGGGCATAAAAAATCTTGTTCAGACTAAGAAAACCATGCAAATCCTGCCTTTATTTCTGTGCTTGATTTCATTTTGCCAGTTGACCACTCTCAGCAGTTCTTAAGCTCCAGGAAAAGCTGGCAATGCACATGAATGGGACAGGGAGTTATTAATAGGGAATTAACTCTAATTCCTTAAAATAAGCATTAATGTAATCACAGACATCCATCTCCCTGCAATGATGAGCACTACGACTCTTCCAAATGAAAGAAATAGTAAAACAAGAGTGTCATGTAGATTCTACTTCAAATCAAGACTAGACATGCAGATAATCTGCCATCTGAGGGTAGGACCATGAGTTAGGGTAGGACCATGAGTTAAGTGTAATTTCTACACCTATCTGTTTTATCACACAGAAAAAGTATTTTGCCAACATTTTAACCGTGTTTATGTTATCTTTGATCTTAAGCAACAGACCTACAGCCTAACAGAGGTTATTTTTTTCAAGAGGTGCTTACATGAGTACTATGTTACAGTGTGCAGTAAGAAATGGAAAGAGCTACATGTTGTGCATGGCCAAACAAACAGCTCCTCAGTAGGCTGGAGACAGACGCCTCGCTGATACAATTTCAAAGCCTGCTGACTTTGTTTGCCACTGTAATCACCACTGAAAAATCAGCACTTCAGATAACTACCAGATGTGGAGTCCCAAATTTTCTCCTGCGGTTAACATGCCCAATAGCCACTGTACGCTTCTGGGTGCAACTGTAGGCAAATGCAAACTTTCTTTTATTACCATTGTTCCACTAAAGTCCCATAGATTTTACACTGACAACTATTTAAACAACTATCTTTATGGGTTTGTTCCCTAAAATCTGATGGTGGTGAAACCTTCCTTACTCTCTACCCTCTTCACATACTCTATGGCTGGGTTTATAACAGGTTTTTTTCCTCAGAGTTCCCCATTTTTCCTGTGGCTGGAGTAAGCTAGGACAGTGCCCATGGCTCCAGGCTGCCCCAGGGTCGTGTAACCTGTTCAGGGTAACTCTGCCAAACCATGACTCCTGTGCTAAGGCCAATGCAATGTCTGTGCTAGAGGGATGGCCAGTGGAGGAGGACCAGTGATGCCAACTCACATTTGTAGATGGTGCCCTGGCCATCAAACAACAAAGTAAGTTGTGTGTCCTCAGAAGAGAGAGACACAATGTCCTCAAAAGATGTTTTAGGCCTTTCCTGACCCACATGAGCCACAGAAGAGGTCAATCAAACCCATAAAATCTTAGATGAAGCTCTGAGGTGTCACTGGTTAAGTGTACTATAATGGTTTCTCTCCTAGAATAAACTTCTGCTTCCCCTGAAGTCAATAACAAAACTCCTCTCAGGCTTCATTTGAGCCAGGATTTCACCTTGGATGCCCTTTTGATGTTGACCCTTCCCACAATGATCATGTCCACTGATGCAATTGGGTCATTTGGCCGCATGATGACTAATGCCATTAGCATTTGTGACAACAGATTCACTGTCATTTATCTGGGTGGGATCTCCTCATAGGCAAATTCCACAAACTGTGTTTGATGCTGTGGTAACAAAAAACACCCGTTAGTGTTGGTGGGTGCAAGACTTGGCCCAGATAAATGTAGGATTGGTGGCCTAAAGAGAAGGGATGAGCTGTTACATCAGGCAAAACTTAGTAACATCTACCACCAGCAGAGCAAGATTTAAGTGTCCATCATATAAACTAGTATCAAATTAATTTAAAAGGATTATCAACCAAACTCTAATCTTGAGGGCTGAGCCACAGTAGGGAGGAAAAGACTGATGTATGTGAAGCCACAACACCTAGGTGTATTTTTCTCTTGAAAGGTTGTTGCCTATGTGATCATTAAAGGGAGCAGGCAATGTTTGAGCTCATCCTCCTCCTGCAGCAATATTCATGCCCTAACCCACAAAATCTCACCGGGATCTGCAGCACGTCCAGCAGCACTGACAGCACCTTGCACCCTGTGTGTCCAGTCCACCATGGTTTAATGATGTCAACTCTTTCACCAGTTACATCAGGTGGGAGGGGATGCTGAACACCTTCCCAGCTCACCTCTACTCAGTGGCCGTAATTTGGATCTGTGATTTCCAAAGTCCTGTGTGCTTCAGAAAATGTCAGCTTAATTTTTGAAGGGAGAACCGAGAGTGAAATGTCTTGGTTTCATTCATAACACTCCAAATTATGAGAATTAGCAGATCAGCTCGAGGCTTCAAGTAGACAAGACAAATGGCAGAGGCAAACAGTCTCATTACTGTCTTTACATAAGAAGCACTGATGCACAGCAAGATACTTGCTCTGTGCAAGCTGCAGGCTGGCCCTTGAGCACTGCAGCAACACAAGGCATAATAAAAATTAGCATCCAAGCAGAATAGTTACGGTAACACAGGGCTGGGTTTGGGTTAATCAGCTCTGACGAGAGGCAGCCTTTTCAGCTCACACCCAGGGAGGTGCTGATGCAGCTCTACGGCTCCTGGCTCGGGAGGCAGGTCACTCAGCACCAGCACAGCAGGAACTGAGCAGCGTAGCCATGCCTGGTGCCAGAACCAGCTCACCTGATTTCCAGCCCCATGCCTCAGCTACCGGTCTCCTTTCTCCTCTTTCCTGCTAAAAACTAAAGGCTGAGGAAGGTATTATTGACTTTGGCACAGCAACATTGAAAATCCTCTCTTAAATCTCGCTATCTGATCCAGGTAATGTAACACTTTCCATTACACACTTGCTAATTCAGCATTTTTATTAAGTAGTGAAGAATAAGTGGTTTTGATCGTATCTCTGTGGGCTACCTGGAATCAAAGGAAGCATTCCTTTATGTATATGCACCAACTCTTCTAAAGATAATCAGCTTGTCTGCAACCTCTTTATCTTCACTTCCCTATCAATAAAACTGGGATAGTGCCCCATCAGATGCGTGCTGTGAGGGTGCATCACAAGGTGAGGAAGTGCTAGGCTCAGCGAGCCCGAGCGTTGCTGCTTGCAGAACACAGCTGGCTCAAAACGCACTTCTGTCTTTACCTAGGAACCGATCCTTAAACTTTGTTTATGGAACTACATTTTTTATAATATCCATAGGAACCAATTAATTAGCTGAAAAGTAACTCATTAGTATACTGCTTTAAATTTACATTAGAGGTTATCCTAAAGAGCTAAATAGTCAAAATAGCTATGACTGGTTCACTATTTAGTCCACATGCTTATGCAGACACGCTATTATTCCAGAATATAGCACTTTATTCTGGCTCAATTCAATACAGTTTGGAAATGGAGTAAACTAGTTGCAGGAATCACTTTATTATTCTGCAGTAGAAGTCTTCATGTAGGGAGCTCATTACAAACAGCTCCCCAGCTTTGAATGTGTAGTCTACCTTAAAATCCAAATTATATTTCCTCTGTCAGTAAACCCTTTGGAATTAACATTCTGTAATTATTACGTTACAGCAATGACTGAAGACATAAGCTATCATCCTTCCCTGTCATGCCATGTAAAAGGCATCACATTTATGTCACAGACTTTAAAGTAAATGTGTCACTTGATGTTCAGGGAACACGAAAGTGCCCTGAAAGTGCAATTTACCAAACAAATTCCAAGTCTCTCTGTAGTATCAGGGTGGATTTACAGGTACTTGCCCTTCACTTAAAGCTGAGCTATTTTTAGTAAGAGGTCTTCCAGTTTAGGGAGTGGACGAAGTTATCCTCTGCTAAAAAGAATAGGGAAGTGAGAAATTCAAGTGTTTAACACAACTGAAGAATAACCTTTCCAGCAAAGCCTGTTCTCATGGCCTGGGAACAAACTATTACCCTGAATTTTACCTATAAAGGTAACACCTATTGACTTGGATGCTCTCTGGGACCTCCAGTGTTAAGAGCATAAGCATAAGTTTGTGTTGAAAAATAAAATTCTTTCTTGCCTCCTGCTTGTGGCAAAATAATTTCCTTTAAGAAATACAACTGAGAGTGGTTCTGAAATTACCAGCCACTAGAGAAAAGTCCAGCATTGCTTGGGATTTCCTGAAAAGCCAGAAGGGACATTTCCATTTCTAACTCGCTGGGACACAGCACCCAGCTCCCAGTGTGCCTCCAAACCTGGTATGGACACCAGGACCTCCTCACTCGCTCACAGCTCCCACCCCAAACCCAAGCCTAGACTCAGAGGAAGGACCCCCAAACTATCTCTAGGGTGTCAAAGATATCAATGAAAACTTAAAAATATTCCCACACATGTTTGAAGCCCGTGCTGTAGAGAGGCACCAAGGGTCTGTGCCATCCCCATGCAATGTCCAGGCCAGCTCTGCCGGTGTGGGAGGGACACGCAGCCAACCCCAGCAGTGTGGCATGAGAACAGACGCCTGTTTTCCACTGGCCGAGGCACAATTCATCACAGTGCTTACCTACGCACTCCAGTTTCAGCACAGGTGATCACCGGGACTTCAGCGTGACCATTCGGCATTGTATATTTAAGCACTTATCTAAATAGATTTCCTAAATGGAGGTCTCCATATTGCATACACTGCAGGGATATATGGACCATCTACTTGTCTCTCAATCGTAGGTACTACACACATCTGAATTCTACAATGTCGTACCAAGGCCCCCAACATTTACAGTCTCACAGGGAGAAAACTTACAGTCTTTTGCCAGTTAAACAGACTTCTATTTCTCATTGCAAAGAGCTGTGCTTGATTATGGCAAAGGTGCAATTTGCCTTTGGACAAGTCCCCGAAATACCCGCATCTCCATGAAACACACACGGGATTTTGAACCCACTACCTGACACTATTTTAAGAAATACCAGTTCCTTAACTTCACTTTCAAATACACACTAACTATCACCTTGCTTAATCAACCACGATAGAAGAGAAGTCAACCAAGGTCTACTCTTGCCTTGAAGCTGAAATTCTGCCTCTGACAACATCGTTGGAAGAAAAACAAGAAAAGGCCATCTTAAGACATTCACAGCAACATTAACCACGTTAGTCAATTTTCTTTGGAGTCGTCGATACATCTCCGATTTATCAGAGACCCCAGTGACTTACTTGTCCTCTAAGAGGTTTTGTCCTGTGATCAGATTTTTCCCAGACGGTGCATAGTCCCAGTTCTCTTCCACAATCCCGAGGTAATAGGTTCTGGTCTTTGCTTCCACCACTGCAAACAGCCAGAGGAACCCAAGAGCACGAAGGCAGCCACCATGCTGCGTGGGAGGCATTTGTAGTTGTGATGGTGAGGCTGGCAGCGGGCAGGCAGCAGCAGGATGCACCACAGAGAGCTCACCCCTCCCTCCCAGCTCTCAACAAGTTATAAATAAGGAATGGACAGAGCAAAGCTCCTCCTTTTCAGCAGGTAGGACTCGGATAGGTAGAGAGCCTGAGTATGCAGAGCAGGGCTAGGGAGGAGGTTGCTGCCATGGCAGGACCTTTGCCAATCCTTCGGTGAATGCATAAATTGCTCACTTACCTGTCCAGGCTAGAGCTAGTTGGTGGTTTTTGGAAGTTTGGATGCTTTTTTGTCCTCCTTTTTCCAGACTAGGTGGTATGGTGTGTTGGAGCAGCTTTTTGTTGGTCTTTTTGCCATCCCTGTCAAAACCCTTTTTTTTTCAGTTTTAATTTAACTCCTTTACCATGTCTGAGATTTCTAAAGCTAGCATCTTGCTGCTTTCGTTGGGTTTTTTCAATGGCATAACACTAGTTTACAATTCAGCATTATCAGAGAGAGAGAGAATTCTCCAGTACCTCTCCAATTTCTAGGATTTTCTGACCCATTTATTACTATGGCAAGTGATCTGAATGTATTCAGTTTTAGAGTGCCCAAAATGAGGCCCCTTTTTACAAACATTTCTGGAAATTAGAGCCCTTGTAAAGTCTTTCCGCTTGGACACCTAAGAATTGAGGCACACAAAGATCACCCTTTTCTTAAACTTGGTAACTAATGTGCCCATGTAGCTCTCTAGAAAATCAGTCCTTCCCTTTATAGCTTAACTTCCTCTAAGAGGACATCTCTATCACCATCTTGGCAAAGCAAAGTGTAAACCTATGCGAGTATGAATTGATAGGATATTCTAAACCATTTAGGTAATATCCCCTAGGTGGCAAGAGACTCTGCAAAATCATACTGCTCTTTTACTCATTTTTAACTGACTAAAGACATTAAAAAGTTGCAGTTCTGGAATACAGCCTTACACTTGAGATTCATTGCCAGGTTTAACAGTTGTGAAATTCCCCTTTCAGCTCCAGAACCATCTGACCTCTTCCCGTTGAAGCTAATGGTTACTCATGGCTAGGGGTGTTAAGAGGCTTCTCAAATGAACTTGGTAGCCACAGATTTAACTTCATCTGTCAAAACCTAGCGAAGTGATGTGAGTGGTTTTATGTGGCAGTCGCATGAGGTTCACCCTCTGGCATACGACAGCCACAGCTACACGTACGGTCAGCTGTGCTGAACGCCTCTCACCATCACTGGTGTGCAGGTGGCTCTGAAGTCACACACAGAATTCAAAAAGCAGGTGGGGTTCATAGCATCCTGGCCTCCAGCCACCCGGACCATGGTGAGTCTCATCTAAATTCAGACACAAGGCACACAGACACACGGAGTAACTTACTAAAGAAGTTTTCGGTTTCTTTAGGCCGTTCATTGCATCTCTTTAGCTGTGAGGACTGAAAGTCCAGTATACACAGGTAAGGATACAGTCAGACAGTTGCAAATGGTCATATTTAATGTAGCTGTAAAAGCAAGAGTCCCTCAGCCATAAGCTGCTCTCTGATACACGCTGATGTTCATTTTCTCAAGTCAGTTAACTGATGAACAACGAGGAGAAGTGATAGGACAATACAGATGTCGTATAGAGATCCTGATCCTCAGAAGCGGCACCACACACTTCCTGATAACCTTGAAGACCTTGCTCATCTCTTCATTCTTCTGCTGCAAACCACACGCAGCCCAGCCTCTTGGCATCTCACGTCAATCTATCTCCTCTCTTCCAAAATACCAGTAGTTAAAAATCATCTTCCTTTTCCACTTCTTTGTTGTGTCACTCAGTTACTCAAATGATGCCAACTAATAGTACTGCGATGCTAAAAGGCATAATTAGAAAGCAAAAGAAAAGACAATGACTGCAGGACAGGCAGAGGCTTTGCCAGCCAGTAGCACAGCTATCAAATGTGCAACTGTGGTGGGAGCAACAGGCCAGCTGGTGGGCTATGAAGCTGTGAGAAAGCCAAGGTGGCCTTTTAACAGGTTAGCAGATTCCCACTGTGATCTTTGCACAGGCCCTGCAGCCTTCTGCAGTGAATACTTCCCTTGCCCAGAGTAGCTGTCCTGAGCCAAGGCAACCTACGAGCTTCATCTCCTGTCACTCAAGCACCTGAGTTTACAGAACTGGGTGCCTGTTATGCAAATGTTCATTGTTATAACATATGAACATTTGCATTTGAATAGGAAATATGTTTATTTAGAGGGTAGCGTGCACTTTAAATGAGATTGTGTAGAGCTCAATTGCTTAAATCAGCCATTTGCATGGCATTAGACATATTTAAAGACCAGGTACAGTTTTGCTATGACCTCTGTCTGTTTTCTTTTTTGCAACTAAGGAATTCTGTTATATGTTTAACATAAATCTCTGTAGATGTGGACTCATAATTCAAGTGCATTGAGCTAATGGGGAATAGGAAGGGGAGTGTCCAATTCTGAGCTGGCACCTGACTGCACTATAGTCATTTAAATAATAATAGTGCTATGTCCTAGTTTTTCTATTGCTTCTCATGTGCCCAGGATTGGGTCCTGGTTGCTTTCTTGCTAGAATAACTATTCAAAATTCAAATACAAAGTTAATTTCTTTGTCCATTACTGTAAAAATTATTTGTGTGACAGGAATAATGTGTGGGCATTAGCACCCTATATCAGCAATGTGTGGTAAGTCTGGTAAACGCCTTAGCTTGGCTTCAGCATTTACTAGATCTGGCAACTTGTATACCCTTTGCATCCACACATTAACACTTAATTACCTTGTCACATCATTAAACCCAGGCACATTTACATTCCGGAGAGGTGCTGTGGGCATGAGTCAGAAAAAGATGAAAGAACAGCTGTTTTGCCCTTGCATCAGGAAAATTTCTGGGAAGCTCCCCTCCGGCGGAAAGGTAATGGGATTAAGTTTGTCCCTTTGTTCAGGATCCTTTCAGCAAAAGGGTTGGATACTGGTTCCTCTGAGACTTTCTGTCCCTCCGAAGGCTAAAATTAGTGCATGGCTGGGTTTCGAAGTTTTGTAATGAGGAGCAATGTTCATAGGTCTGAAGTGCAAACATCTTGAGTACCAGTTTGTGAATGAGCCCCGAAACATCACCAATGGAGCTTTCTTTTTAAGCACATCAGGAGTGATTGCAATACTTAGCTTAAATTAATCCAGCAAAGCCCAGACTTTTGCCAACTAATGTTAGTGAATTAGCTAGAATACCTAAGTTAACCTGGCGATGGCCATAAGGTCAGTGAAGAGAGATGTTGGATGTGCTGATCTTCTGCATTGACTATACCTCAGTTCCTTGAAATTAGGCAACATGAGTTCAGAGATGAGCACTTTATTCAGACTGCCTACCACTGAAACCCAGCTTGCATTCTCCATTGAGCAGATGATGAGCTGATGTTCGAGCAGATGATGAGCTGATGTTCAAGCAGACTGACTACCCTGTTTCCTCTGCTTCTTCTTGTTAGCAGTAGAGTTCCCATTTGTACACACTTGTTCCTGGTCCCTCTGCTGTGTTGGTTTGTGTCTGCATTGCAATCCAGGTTGGGGAATTAGTCTGCCTGTTTCCAGGGTAAGACTACCCTCAGCTGGTATTGCCACCAGACCTGGAGCTCTGCCTGTAGTGACCATCCCAAGGCAACAAAGAGTGCCTGTGGTAAAGCTGGGAACTGAGTTACACCCTCCCAAGTTTCACACCACTCTTTTAACCAAGCCATCCTTCCCCTTCCTCGGTTTTCCCACACTCTCCAGCCACGAACACATATTAAATACAAAAACCTCACAGTACCTCTGTGAAAAACAATTTCACTTGCACTTTCTAATCATTTTTTGAGTTGCAGCACTAGCGTGCAGAAGGTAAACTTCATGTTATAGTCTTGTAGTCACACCGTGTGTATCTGAATTAGTGGAATTTTTGGAGTTCATGCTGGAGGTTGGAAATCTCAAAAACCGTCTGCCCTGAAGGCTTCCACCACTTCTATTTGCAATTCTGGATAGGACCTTGGTAAGAAAGGATTCCTGGTCATACACAGCACTTCCTAGGAGCACTGCAAGTCTGAGTACTGAAACAGTTGGAGACAGAAGGACAAAAAAGCTGCTGAAACTCCAAGAATAGTTACAAGGATCTGTGATCAGTGAGGATATTAGAAAGGCAGCTGTAGCCCATACTACAGGTGGCCCAGTGTGGACCTGACTCATGTCTGCCCAGAAGTCCTTGTGGCAGGACGGACACTGAACCCAGCCCTCCAGATTCCCACGTCAGAGTCCGCACGGCTCCCCGGCGTTGCCCTCCAGCCATTTGGGCTCAGTCCATGCACCCAGCTCAGGGTCACACTTGGCATTTACTACAATGGTTGTCTGGAGATCATTAGGGCAGAATAATTTTCTCTGTACATCTCTGTGCAGACGTTCTCCTTGCAGAACAGCTGCTTTGGTACGTTACCAGCTGTGGACAAATCTTGAGCCAAGGAGTGAAAGGGAAAAGAGGGCTCCTGTTATATCAGAAGCAGCCCACAGATCCTTTCTTCTCCATCATGGGTTTGAGCCAAATCCTGTATCTTCCACACCGACGACAAAAGACAATACCATAGCTGAACTTAGACGTTAGAGAAATTAATTATACATTGGAAAAAAGATACTTAAATTCAAGGTAAAGGGATGCAACAATGAGAAGGAAGGTGTTTAACAGTGTACTGAAAGGAACTGCAAGTTTGAAGAGATTGTAATAAATTGCCAAATAGGCTGGGCAAATGTAATGTGTTCAGCCTCAAAAGCCATTATAGCAAGGCTGAAAAAAGGAAGTTTTAATCCTAATTAAGAGAAGCTTCTTGCGTGTGGTAACTCATGTAATATCTGCACTGTTAAAACAAGGCTAATACCTCGACAGAACTTCAAGGTACTTTATTTATGGGTTTCTACAGTGCTGCCCATTGTAGCACGTAACAAACATGAAAGAGCTTAACTTTACGTCATCA